TAGGGGAAATTTTCCAAAGGGATTTAGGTGCCTAAAGATGCAGATATGCACTTATGGGTATTTTGAAAGCAGTTGATGTGATTAGATTCAAGTGCCTAAATCCCTTCTGAAAATAAGATTTAGGCTCCTAAACCAGATAGGCATTGTGATGCTGAGAACTGCAACGCTTAAGTACTTTTAAACAGTGGGGCCTAATCTTTTAAACGGGCAGGACTCATTTTAAATAAGCCATATTTGGTGTTTGAGGCCTAATAAAAGTGGACAAGGTCACTTTGACACTGACAGGCCAGCTCAGATCAAAGTCATGGACCAGTTCACTTGTGGGTGAATATCAAAGAACTGTTAATATTATTGTCTTCACTTACCTATAACCTGTCGTCTACTATCACTTTACACTATGTATACCTGGTAATTAGGTAGTCCTAGATTAAAGTGTGCGCTAGTTAAAATGTGAATGTACTGGATGTGTAAACTTCATGAAAACTAATGAAGGATTGTTTCTGGCTATCACATTGTGTTTACGTTAGGTTTAACCATCACACAAGATTGAAGCCTTGGAAATGTAAAAGACTGCTAACGTCAAAGCACGGGTTCGTTGTGTTTGACAATGGAAAGTCACAAGCTCAGTTTGTATTTAGTCCACAAAGAGAGAGCCCATGCTGTGATGAAAACACTTGCCAGACTGCTTTCCACAGAAAGCAGCTGTAAAGATGGATCTAGGGATCGAGCCTGTAGCTCTGGATTGTTTGGACACTCACAGGGGAGCACTCCAGAAGCAAGACAGAGATCCCCAAAGTTATTTTGGGTAATCCTGAGAGAGGTATGGAAAACGCGCAGATCACTACATCTCCGCTATCATTTGGACTTACAAACTTTGACTCACCTGTTAATGTATTTTACCTGTTTTAACCTCTAAGTAACTCTCATTGCCTTTCTTAGCTAAAAAAAACCTTTAGTTACTTTACTAGAAAAATTGGCTACCAGAGTGATCTTTGGTGTGAGATACAGACTGGGGTAAGTGACTGACCCTTTGAGGTTGGGAGTAACATAATGTCAAGTGATATTTGGTATAAGGGACCATTATCACACAAAGTCCAGTTTGTCTGAGTGGCAAAATTGGCTGGAGACCCTAAGGGAACTGCTTGAGATGCCATGGTAAGGCTAATATAGTGATCCAGAAGTTCACAATTGTTACTGGCTTGGTAAAAATCTAATTATAGAATATACCACCAGTTTGGGGTGTCTACCCTGTTTTCTGACAGTCTGACCTGTCTGGCACTCACAGATTGGCACTCACAGTTGTGAGCTACTCCAGACTCTACAGTCTACAGCCAAGCTCTGCGATACAACCGCATTTGCTCCAACCCCTCAGACAGAGACAAACACCTTCAAGATCTCTATCAAGCATTCTTACAACTACAATACCCACCTGCGGAAGTGAAGAAACAGATTGATAGAGCCAGAAGAGTTCCCAGAAGTCACCTACTACAGGACAGGCCTAACAAAGAAAATAACAGAACGCCACTAGCCGTCACCTTCAGCCCCCAACTAAAACCCCTCCAACGCATTATTAAGGATCTACAACCTATCCTGAAGGATGACCCAACACTCTCACAAATCTTGGGAGACAGGCCAGTCCTTGCCTACAGACAGCCCCCCAACCTGAAGCAAATACCAGCAACCACATACCACACAACAGAACCACTAACCCAGGAACCTATCCTTGCAACAAAGCCCGTTGCCAACTGTGCCCACATATCTGTTCAGGGGACACCATCACAGGGCCTAATAACATCAGCCACACTATCAGAGGCTCGTTCACCTGCACATCCACCAATGTGATATATGCCATCATGTGCCAGCAATGCCCCTCTGCCATGTACATTGGTCAAATTGGACAGTCTCTACGTAAAAGAATAAATGGACACAAATCAGATGTCAAGAATTATAACATTCATAAACCAATCGGAGAACACTTCAATCTCTCTGGTCACGCGATTACAGACATGAAAGTTGCTATATTACAATAAAAAAACTTCAAATCCAGACTCCAGCGAGAAACTGTTGAATTGGAATTCATTTGCAAATTGGATACAATTAACTTAGGCTTGAATAGAGACTGGGAGTGGCTAAGTTATTATGCAAGGTAACCTATTTCCCCTTGTTTTTTCCTACCCCCCCCCCCCTCCTCAGACGTTCTTGTAAACCCTGGATTTGTGCTGGAAATGGCCCACCTTGATTATCATACACATTGTAAGGAGAGTGATCACTTTAGATAAGCTGTTACCAGCAGGAGAGTGGGGTGGGAGGAGGTATTTTTTCATGCTTTGTGTGTATATAAAAAGATCTTCTACACTTTCCACAGTATGCATCCGATGAAGTGAGCTGTAGCTCACGAAAGCTTATGCTCAAATAAATTGGTTAGTCTCTAAGGTGCCACAAGTACTCCTTTTCTTTTTGCGAATACAGACTAACGTGGCTGTTACTCAAACTCCAGACAGCGTGAGTCACATTTTAAATATGGAGTATGTATAATCCCAGCTACTTATGGTATCTGATCTCATTTAAAGTTATTAAAATAAGTACCGAAGAACTGAAGGGGGCTGAGAGAAGAGTTATGAGAATGATCAAGAGCCTTGAAAAACTCTCCTAGGAAGGGATTGATCACTTATTCATCTGTAAGGTGATAAAAAAGATAAAATAATTACTGGTCTAAAGAAGGTAGATTGGGAGCATCTACTCTCCCTGCCTCATAACACAAGAATCAGGGGACATGCAATGAAACTGAAAGGTGACAATTTCAAAAACAACAGGAAATACTAGTTCATGTAAAACTTAAGCTGTGGAACTCATTGTCACAGGAAACCGTTGAGGCCAAGAACTTCGCAAGATTCAAAGTGCTTGACATTTATCTTTATAACAAGAATATCCAGAGTTCTAATTAAAGACAACGAACATTTTGTAAAGGATATTAGCCCACAGAGACAGGGACAAAACCTGTGTGTGAACTGGAATAATCCACATCTACCCATTGCATGGTTCTTACACCTTCCTCTGAGGAATCTGGTGCTGACCACTGCCAGAGACAGGATACTGGGCTCCATGGAGCTTGGGTCTGAACCAGTCTGGCAATTCCTACGTTCCTATAATAAATGTTGCAGGGTTTGTGAGGTTTTTAGCAGTTTCATTACTTGACACTATAGTTGGACCATCCCATCTCCTTTCTTTAAAGTATTTCACAGACCTTTCTACCTGTAATTGTTCTTTTGCTAACTGCAGGAGAAGGTACCTCTGAGTAAATTAATTAGGGTATGTTGGAGCAGCTAGCGTGACAGTGTCTTCACCTCGAGATGGAGGTGAAGCTGAGCCAAGAAAAATTGAAGCTAGCAACAGAAGTTTCCTACAAGTGCATTCTACTGCACTACAGAACAATTGGGTCAGAAATGGAAGGGTCCCTGTTAGGCTAGCTACTCCATCTCCCTGTTGCCAGTGCTGGGCTGTTCCCTATTATACCCAATGGTTTGTCCTGTTTTAACATGTTCCAAATGTCGGGGCTTCCACCACTTCCCTTGCGAGATTATTTCATAGGTTCATAGAATTCACTCCACTGCAGTATTCACTGGGTGGAATTCTCTGGCCTGTGCTATACGGGTCAAACTAGATGATCAGAGTGGTCCCTTCTAGCCTAAACAGTAATGTTATGATCAGAAACGTTCCCCTTTCATCTCATTAGCCCTAGTTATACCCCACACTATTAGGCTATGTCTTCACTCCAAATGCTACAGCAACACAGCTGTAACACTTCAGTGTAGACACCAACTACAGTGACAGGGAGGGATTTGCCCATCGCTCTAGTTAATCCACCTCCTGGAGAGGTGGTAGCTAGACTGGTAGAAGAATTCTTCCTCTGATCTAGTGCTGTCTACACGGGTGTTAGATTAAATTAACTTCATCTCTTAGAAGTGTGAGTTTTTCAAATTCTCCCCGCCCCCAGAGTGATAGCTATGCAGACGTAACATTCCAGTGCAGACCAGCCCTTAATTCCAATGACTCCTTTCCTTCCTTGGCATTTACACACTTTAAATATCTGCAGATTGCCACGCACCACACACTCATCCCCTCAGGCATCACTTAACCAAGCTACATATAGCGAACGCTTAAACCTAGTCTCCCAGAGAACATAGCAGATGGGTCATTACTTAGGACAATGAAAGCGAGACTGGACAGAACACTGGAAGAGATACTGTAGGACAGCTCTGTGTAAGAGACAAGCAAGACAGCCTAACAGATCTTTTCCATCTCCAGCGGCTAGGATGAATACAAACTGCAAGCTCTTTGGCGAAAAGGACTGGCATTTACTGTATGTCTGAACAGAGCATGGTCGAGCGTGCTGCATTGATTTTACTGGGGCACCCACATCTGACTTCATTTACACAATCCTGGTTTTCAGTGATCTTGTTCCCTTTCTTTTTCTTTCCTCCCAACAACTAACTACATCAAGAATTTAAAGCTGGAGGAATTGCCAATAGCCCATGCAGTCCAACACGGTGTCTCAACCAAATGCTCCTTAGCAGACAAAAAACACACCCTGTGCATATTATTTTTTGTCTGAATGTTAAGACAGTTTGGGAGGATTATGCTGTGAAGTGCCCCGATTGGTTTGGCCAAGTGGTTTTGTGGGAGAGGGATGGAAGAAGCATTACAATAACTATGTGTCATTAAGGAAATTTTCTTCCTGACCCCAGCTAGTGGGAAGTTTATGCCCTGACGCATGAGGATTAACAGCCCAGATAAACAGTAACTGAGCTATTCCCTGACTGCTAGCATAGTTTTTTTAAAGTAGCTTTCTACTATGAGAAAATCCCCCGTGTCATGTACGCTGTGGAATGTGAGACCCATTCAGCTGGGGATGCTTAGTAATGAGGGTGAGTGGCACAGTCTGCTGAGATCCTGTGGAGGATTTGTATGCAGGGCTGCTGCTTTGGTGTGGATGCTCTTACCTGCTGTAGGCACGCTAATGTTATACTGAGGTAAGATGAACAGGAAGGCAGTCTTGGCTGTCGCCTGTTAAAGACAAAAAAAACCACACACCTGGTTAAAGTGAATCATAGTATTTTCAATGAACCAGGTACAGATTCCCACCACCATCCATAACCCAGCCAGAACAATCCACCCTGCAGGAACCGTCCCCCACTGAAATCCCAGCTCTGCATGGCTCATGGCAAAGGGTTCCCTGTTTAGGGCCAGCTACGTCTGTTTGTATCCCTCTGCCTCTTCCAAGCCAGCTGCCTTTGCTCCACAAAGCCGACTGCTCAGCAACCAATCATAAGGAACTCTGTGCAGGACACAAAGTCCAGTCTTGTCCGCAACCTCTTTCCCCCTGGGTCACATGTCCCATCCAATCGCACTGCAGTGCATGCTGGTTAAGTCCAGATCCTCTGCTCACTGTTCAGCCAACAGTCTAAACTGATTTATGAGACTAGGTGGGTCGAGACTACAATTAGCTGGTGTCTTGGGTAAGGCTGATACTTTCAGTCCAATCCAGTTTGCAGGTGAAGTCCGTTACCACTATTAGCTCCCCTGTTAATCATCGCAGCTCACCGCCTACAGCAGATCCCTTAAAATCAGGGTTGAAGCAGAGCAGCAGGGCAGCCTGGGGAGAGAAGATTACGCTGCCCTGCTGCACCACTTCTGGGGGTAAACAGGCAGCATCAGCGGTTTCTTTGGGGCCTTCACCTTGCTGCAAAAGACGAAGCTTAAAAGGGAAACAGCAAAGGGGTAGAGAGGACCACGTTCTAGTCATGATGTCATATCATGGAGGGAAGTTAGACTGGATTTAAACTTAACCACGGAGCAGCCATGCCAACAGCCTGACCAAGAAACAAAGCACTCCATAGGAAAGCGCAGGGAGGGGACAGACTTACAGACAGGTTGTGATGACTAGTGATCAGGATGGAATGATGCCCTGAGCCCGGATGTGCCCAGTCTGTCTGTTTGTGAAGTGCTCCCAAGTCCCTCAGGATGAGGCATGCTCCATCCATCCTTGCACGTTGTGATCACGCAAGATCAGTTCAATCTAAGGATGCTTTACATACAGCCTTGTAAGGCAGAGCCAGGATTTCTAGTCATAGTGTGACAAATCCCCCAAAGGACTGAGCAATACATTAGGCTGAGGGACAGGCCCTCACTCACCCAGCCTCTTGCTCTTAAAAAGGAGAGGAACCACAGAGGGCTAAAGCATTATAGTGTTTGACTTTGAAAACTATTTGGTTTTAAGCGGCTCCTAGCGTCCCAGGCAGGGACATCAGCATAGTACATTAACTGGCTTTGGCTCACAAACGAATGCCCCGGCTCCCCAGAATAACCTCAGCCCTGTGATGGGTGCAAAGCGCTGTAGGTTGTAAACACATTTAGCCAGCAGTTCTTTACAGTAATCCCTCCCACTGGTGACAGACACAGGGATTAGCCATGTCAGAACCATGGAGGAGAGTGGCAGATGCTTGTTAAGACTCCTTGGGTGGGGAGGAAAAGCAGCTTTGGGAATCAAATTGAAGCTGTTGCAGATGGCACACATCTATAGATACATCCTGTAAAATCTGTGGTTTGGGCTGAGGGCCTGGAAAGCATCTCAGGGTTAATTCTATCCTGCTCACAAAACCTCAAGGATACCAGGGCTACGATTTTTCAAAATTTCAAAATCACGTGTCTGTATTGTGCATGGTAAGCCCAAGTGTCCATCCAGCATCTGTGCATGGTCTCTTTACTCCTCGAAATCCAGTGTGTGTTCAGTCCTTGGCGAGCTGGCTACTCTAAGAGCCTTCTGGGGTTCAGGAGGCTGCTGAGGTTGGGGATGAGCAAAGGCTGCCCAGTGCGGGGAGAAAGGCCAGAACTTTGGAAGGCTGGGATTGGGAAGCCACATCCCTGGGTCTGAACTTCATGCTGCTGCTGGGTCTCAATCTGATCCTTGGGCCCAGAACCAGAAGAGAGGAGGTTTGCACTGGGAGCTCAGGTGGGGAGAGGTTAGCATGGCAGTAGAGGTGAGTGTGAAGTCCATTGGGGGGGGGGGGGGGGGGAGGGGGCAGGAAGGAGAAGTAGGCAAGTATTAGTTTCCAGTTCCTCATTGCAGGAGCAGGAGATCTGATCGCTGACATGCTCTCTGGGACTCCAGCCCACGCTGCTGAGGCAGACGCAGAAGGACAGCTGCTGGGCTGGGGAAAGGTCGGGAACAAGGCAACCAAGCCATCTGGAACCAAAAGCCAAGGCTGCGTTTTCATTGGCGTTTGGTCACAAAATGGATCCATCTGCCCCCTGGCTAGCAGGGTCCAAGTGGACGACAGACCAAGCGGGAGGTGCAGCTGCGACGCGGAGCGAGACAGGACTCCCTGTGTCGTGCCCCAGGAAACAGAGCCAGAAACAATACCAGAAACCTGACGCTGAGCGAGCTGGAAGGGAGCAGGTCCTGAAGTGCACGCTCCCATAGCTAAGCGTGGGCCACCAACGCTCAACTGAGCCCCAAAGGTGGGCATGCCTGGGAGCAGGCAGCATTAAATCAAACGATTCCCAAGCTCTAGAATAACAGCACCTAAGACAGAGACAGAGCCGACACCCCAGGCTCTATCCTGACTCCAGGGCCAGCCAATTAACAGCAACACTGAGCACTTCAAGAGCTTTGTGCCTTCCATGCATTGCATGGATGACAGTAAAGCCTGCAATGGGGTGGAAGCAGGCTGCCTGGGCAGCGATCATGGCAATTCAACAGGCCTCATTCGAAGGTGGATTTGATTAGAAGTATACACTTGATTTACCAGCTTCCATCTGAGAGTTTCTAACTACTTCAGAGACTCAAGCTGCACATCACCTCTGTGGAGGTAGGGAAACTGAGGCACTGAGCGGTTAAGGCAGGAATTTCAGTCTTGGGTGACTGAGCTACTAATGAGAAGAATGACAGGTTTCAGAGTAGCAGCCGTGTTAGTCTGTATCAGCAAAAAGAAAAGGAGGACTTGTGGCACCTTAGAGCCCAACAAATTTATTTGAGCATAAGCTTTCGTGAGCTACAGCTCACTTCATCGGATGCACTGCACATAAAAGGGTAAGAGTAACAAAGTGTTACTGCAAACCACACACATGATTATAATACCATAGATAGGCACAGAATCATGGAACTGGAAGGGACCTTGAGAGGTCATCTAGTCCAGTCCCTGCATGACCATAAATACCATACAGATAAATAAATACCATACCCCAAAGAGCTTACAACCTTTTAAAAATCGCCAGTGATGGAGAATCCACTATGACCCTTGGTAAGATGTTCCAATGGTTAATTCCTTTCACTGTCAAAAATTTACATCTTTTCAGTCTCAATTTATCTAGCTTCAACACCCAGCCACTGGACTGAGTTGTACCTTTCTCTGCTAGCTTGAAGAGCCCATTGTCAAATATTTGTTCTCCATGTAGGTATTTATAGACTGTGATCAAGTCACACCTAATCCTTCTCTTTGTTAAACTAAATAGATTGAGCTCCTTGAGTCTGTCATTATAAGACATGTTTTCTAAACCTTTAATCATTCTCATGGCTCTTCTCTGAACCCTCTCCATTTTATCAACATCCTTATTCTGTGGCCTTCTTGACTTGTGGCTACCAGAACTGGACACAATATTCCAGCAGCTGTTCCACCAGTGCCAAATACAGAGTAAAATAACTTCTCCTCTCCTATTGAAGATTCACCTGTTTACGCATCTCCTGATCACATCAGCCCTTTGGGCCACTGTGTTGCACTGGGAGCTCATGTTCAGCCGATTATCCACCATGACTCTCAAGTCTTTCTCAGAGTCACTGCCTCCCAGGACAGAGTCCCCATCCCGTAAGCATGGCCTACATTCTTTGCTCGTAGGGGTATATTTTGCTGTATTACAATGGACATTATTTGCTTGCACCGAGGTTACCAAGTGATCTAGCCTCATCCTATACCACAGCCTCAATTTCTGCAGCATCTGCAAATTTTATTAGTGATGATTTTACATTTTCTTCCAAGAGGATATAAAGGGATATAAAACCTCACACTTTGAGCTATGACTAACAGAGGTCAGGAAGAAATTTTCCTTGGGAGGCAGGCTAGCTCATAATCACAGTTTATTTTACCTTTCTTTGAATCACCTAGTACTGGACACTGTCTGAGACAGAATACAGACCTAGACAGACTGGGTCTGATCCAATATAGGCATTCCTAAATTAAGAACAAACAAGAGAAAACGACAGCGCAAAGTTGCTTAGAAGAAGGGAAATACAAGTGTGTGGGAGCATTTGTGTGGTCTCTGGGGAGGCTACTTTATATACAGAATCATAGAAATGTAGGGCTGGAAAGGACCTGAAGAGGCCATACTGGACTGTACCTGTCCCTTGCACTGAGGCAGGACAAAGTATACCTAGACCAGAGGTTCTCAAATTGTGGTCTGCGGATAATTCCCTCTAAGGCAGAGGTGGGCAAACTACAGTCCACGGGCCACATCCGGCCCGCAGGACCCTCCTGCCCAGCCCCTGAGCTCCTGGACTGGGAGGCTAGCCCCTGGCCCCTCCCCTGCTGTTCCCCCTGCCCGGCAGCCTGGCTGTTTGGGGAGGCCCAGCCTCCCCTAACTGGCCCTCTGTACAATTTCAGAAACCCGATGTGGCCCTCAAGCCAAAAAGTTTGCCTGCCCCTGCTCTAAGGTGCACACCTGGGCAGCCACATGAGAGAGAATGAAGGGCCACCCACCTAATTAGTGGAGTCCGCCCAGGCACGGCTTCATTAATTAAGTGCCTGAACTCCGGAGAAGACGCACATGTAAGGTGAGGTGGTGGCCTTGGGAGGAATGGGGGTAGGTGGGAGGGGCAGTGGGGTGAGAAGAGAGGGTGGGGGGAATTTGGGACACGCAGAGCTGCGGCGGCCAGAGAAAGAGGCAACTTTCCCCAGCTCCAGGGCTGCGGCTGCCAGGGAGAGACGGCCCTTCTTCCCAGCCTCTGCTCCATGGCTGCTGTGGCAGGAGAGAGACCCCCTCCTTCCCAGTCCCAGCTTGGGGGTTGCCACGGC